CCTAAATCCAGTTTTTGGGCGAAGGGAGCGTTTATTGGTCCGTTCACTTGACTATGCGCCTTGTGAACCCTAATTATGTCTCTGCCTAACAGAAGAAGAATGGGAATGTGAGGCATGGGCTCCGGGATGTGCTTCGCCAGATGCCTTAAGTGTTCATGTTGGCGAACCACCTCAGGACAAGGTATTTCCGAGCGGTTATCTGGAATATCATTGCATTCGAGGAGGGTTGGCAGGGGTAGGGTTAGCCTTCCATCAAACGATTCCACCTGAAAGCCACGTGCTAATCTGCCTTCTTTTTTAACTGTTCCCGCACATGTCTTTAGGGTGTAAGCGACATTATCCTCTGTAATGTCGAACCACATCAAAGAATTCTGTTCTCGCTAGTTCATCATCAAGTTTCTGGGACAGAACAAGAAATCTGAAAATGTCACCATGGACTCTCAGAACATCTGAATGGATTACGGCAAACTCCTTCAAAAACCTCAGACACACAAAGCCTATTGGGGATAAATCCTGTTCACAATATTAAATTAATGTATGTTTTTTCATCATAGACAATACTTTGGATTATTACTGCTTCTCTTTTTCCAAATCATCCATCAGTTTTTAGATTGCCTTCCTCCATTTCAGTTAGCTGTTGGTCTCACTTCATTGCTATGAAATCAACCTGCAGAGACTTGAGTTGTTTCCGGGAGATCATACATCAAAGGCAGTGTTTAGTCACCGCTGTTTTTCTTGTCATACTCATGTTATCACTGTGTGCTAACACAGTGGAGAGAAATGATGGTTTGAAGCACACACTGTTTTTGTGTTGAAAGACACACGCAATGTCAGTATTCACACAATTGTTTCATCACTTGTGGAAGAAACATTCAGCTCCTTTACTTAAATGTAAGCTGATTGTTTTAAGAAAGAACACATCTCACTCTTTTGGAGTTGTTGGAACAACAAAGTCTCACTCAGTTCACATGACTGTACAGCGTCACAGGGTGGAGTTACTTTCATCATGAATAACCTTTAGCTGAATACCGCCCCAGCAACAGACAAGTTTTGTCACATTTACAGTAATGTTTATTAATGTGCACTGTCTCTGTTAAATAAACAAATAAATAAGATTTTTCTCTGTCTCTTTCTCCATGTGTTACCTCATGTAGAGTCAAACTTCTCTGAGTGACTGATCCCAACCAGACACACCAACAGGTGGATATGGAGAGTGGAGCTCTGGGAATTGACACCAGCGCTGCTCCAGGTGGGTTGTCTTACTTAAGCATTTGAAATGATTAGCTAAAACTAACAGTTAAAGAATTTATATTGTTAGATAAAAGGAACATATAACAAGTATAGCAATATTTAGTGACCAGATGAACACCTGACATCATTAGCTGAAGGTGACATAATGTTGAGACAATTAGCTGAAACCACTGGATTAAAAAATAAAAATAAATTAGCTAATAGTAACCAAAAAATTGTTGAAACTAGTGGCTAAAATTCATAGATAAACTGTTTAAATGACTAAAGTAATGAGTAAACTTAAAGGTGATGGTTATAATGCTACATGAAATCTAGCTAAAAATAATGCACACGTGTAATGGATAAACAGTTGAAATAGCTAAAAGTAAATAATAAAAAATTTAAATATTTCACTAAAGGTAACAGCTTAACAGTTGAAATAGTTATCTAAACAAAACTAATCAGTTTATATTGCTAAAACTAACAGATAAACAATTGAAATAATTAGATAAAAGTAGCTAGTAGTTGTAACAAACTATTGAGATAGATTCCAAACAGTTGATATTAGCTAGCTAAAGGTAATGAATAGAAACAATTATATAATATTTGCTTAAAGTAATGGATAAAGAGTTTAGGATAACAATTAGGATATAAACAACTGAAATATAGTATTTAGCTAATGGTAACAGATAAACAGTTGAAGCAATTTGTAAAAAATAACTAATAATCAATTGAAATATTTGCTAAATGGTTAAAAGTAGCTTAACAGAAACTAGTTGAAAATGTTAGCTTACATATGAACAGTGAAAGACCCAAGTTTTGTCACTCCAAGTGGTAATAGTATGAATGTAAACTTGACCAACCCAGTGGGTACCTGCAAAAAAGGATGTGTAACGGATAAAAAATATGTTTATATAAATTCACAGGTATAGACACTGGTAAAAAAATAAAAGACTGAATGTAGGTGGGTACTGGGTGAAATAAACAACAATAGTAATAATAAAAATAAAGGTGCAGCTTCTTTTAAACATCTAATCCAGCATAATTTTATCAAGCCTAAATAAGTGATACATTTATTGTGAAGGCCTATGACACAACCTTTGACCCCTCAACTCACATCCAACTAATAGGATGTCACTCAGACATTAGTGTAAGTTACTGTGTCAAACTGGATAACCTAGAAGTGAAAAAGCTAGCGGTGATTACAAAATTGTGGACAGTATATCACTGAATGCCAAGTTAGACTTATTGGAGAAATTCAGTGTGGTTACAGACAGTGAGAACAATGTAATCAGCGGCTTTGCTACTTTGCCAAAAAGTGTTAGCATTGATAGCTGCAAGCTAGGCACGTCATCACTAAGAGAACAGCTGCAGAGCCCAGGTGCTGTCTCGACAGAAAAGGGCTTTCGCCATTATGGGAACGTACCAAGACGTGTTGAGCCAAGCAGCGCTCTTCATGGATTCTGCGTTTGTTTCCACTGCCATGCGCCTGCTTTGTGTGTGTGCTCCGGGAGATAAATTTCAGGACCCCTTACAGATAATACTAAAATCAGGTTCCAGAAATGTTAGGGGGAGAGGGTGCATGCGCGCAAAGCAGTCACCCCGTTTGGTTAAATGTCCACTCTTCACACCTCAGTCATTAGCATTACAGTCTCCCTTACTGGCTGATTGTTGCAGTATGGAGTAATCCTTCACATCATCTTTTCTCCTTCTGCTTAGCTGATTGATGTGTGTGAGAGACGTGTAGTCCCTCCCTCCTTCAAACAGAGATCCAACACAGAAAAAATACAGTGGAAAAACAAAGCAGCACAGTCTGTGTCAACCCGGGAGGTTTTGCAGGGTGAAGTATGGGGTATCCTACTCCTTAGGTTCCGATAGTGGAAATGCAGCAATACTTTTCCAAGAACACAACTCTCAAGTACTTTAAAGTAAGTGACTGTGTATCTTAAAGTCTAATTTAATTACGGGAATGGGTCACAGGTCTTATGTTAACAGGTCAGGTTGGGTCTGATACAGAGCTTTGCAGATTTTCAAAATTGGACCTGTGAAATGATTCTGACATGATTCGATTGAAGGGGAACCTGAGATCATCTGGTTGAAATGTGGGTGTACATCAGACAAAAAAAAAAGCTGAATCAGTTGTTTGGAAGGTTCACTGCTGTTTGATGATGCAAATTTATGTGTCACATTTCATTAGTGGTGAAGTTCAGGTCACTGTTCCACACAGAATTATGTTACTGATATGCATCTTCAAATGTATTGGAACTCGGTGTGATATGGCATTGTCAGTTCCTCTTGTCTTTATTGTTCCTTATGAAACTGGTGGTTGAAAAGAACAGTCAGATAACTTAGATATACAGGGGCAAGGACTGATATGTGTGATCACACAGCTTGATTCATCTGTGTTAGTTATTTCTGCTTGTCAGGTTGAATACCAGCCAGACCTGATTGATGGGTTTAGAGGAGTCAAGCTGACAGACAGGTTATTTGCTTGATTGATCCTCAGATCCCGGAGCGCACTCAGACTGCGGCAAAGCCTTTCTGCGGCGTCAAGCCTGGGCCCATAGCAAAGACTCCCTGTGGCAAGAATCAGAACAAGAACAAAATGGCCCCCAGGAGCCCGATCAGGGCCAGAGAGACGAGGATGCACAGAGAACCTCAGAAGAACCAGGTTAGTCTGAGCTCAGCTGTCATCAAAGCATCTGAAGTACTGACGTTGGCAGCTGGACTTTCTTGGGGTTCCAGTTGCTAACATTAGTGCTTCTGATATACCAAGACCTAAATGACTGTGAACCTCCATGAACATGTCGCTAGAGCAGTGTTGTAACGAGCAATATTTTGAAATAATAAATATTTCACATTTTATCTATCCAGTGTTCACCTTACTGCCAACAATCACATCAGTTGAGTGCCAGAGTCAGTTCTGAATACTATTTTTGGACAATATTATCTCACCACAGTTGTATCATTATAGTTGTAGCTAATACGTAACATGAAATGCCTTGTTTTCTGTACCGGAAACAAAGCAAAGTTTTCAAATTATCCTCAATGTATAAAGCCAAATTAAATATTTCAGGTATGTGGATGTGTGGTGAATAGTTGTTTGTCTATAGCTCCATGGTAATAGAAATATGCAAATATACAGTATGTGTAAAGGGAAATTAGAACAAGCACAGAATTTAGAGGGGAGGGGAAAAAGTAAGGCTTGATTGTTATAATTATCATTAACAATATAAAATATTGCAAGAAAAGCAGCGGTAGGGTTGGGTATCAGCTCATTTTTGCAACACTACCAGATACTAGGGATGAGGTGATGCACTTGGCTCAGGAGATGAGACTGTTCTGCCCTTTATGTCAAAAGACCTAGTTTGACTCGACAGACAGATAACGTCTCCCACAGACAACCAATGGACTTTGACGCTTTACTGCTGGCCATGGAATTTTGCAATAGCTTTTACATACCGAAGGTGCCTTCAAAACAACTTAAATCGAGGAGAAGCGATCATCGTGTCTAAATACAGATACGCTGTATGCAGAATGTGGCTCACATTAATGATGTCGTCACTAAGCGACACAGAAGCTGCAATTACAGTCTTAGGACAGAAGGTCAGCTACTGTTCGTAGAGAACAGCACACTCCCCGTCTGGCATTCAAGGAATGTCAAACTTCCCTGAGATGGTCCTTAGAGCTGTTTAGCGTCGTCCTGAAGAAGGAGGACTATCTCATTGACAGGTCTCAAGAACAGCTTCGGTCCGTCCTTTCCTAGGATATGGACTTGAACCTTACGAACTTGTCCATCTTGACTGGGATAGGTTTCCGTTATGATCCCTAGAGGCCACTCGTTGCGTTTTGACTGGGAGTCCTTAAGAAGAACAATGCAGCCTTGGGTGATGTTCGATTGCTGCTGTTGCCATTTTCTTCATGGTTGTAGAGTTGAAAGGTACTCCTTTCGCCATCGGCTCCAAAAGGAGTCTGCTAGGTTTTGCACCATGCACCATGCGCCATTGCTGTTTGTACAGGTCGGGCATTCCAAAGTCTCCAGGTGGAACACAGCTGGGTCCAGTCTTTTGGGTGAGCAAAGTGGCAGGCGTCAGGATGAAGGGGTTGGCTGGGTCAGTGGATACGGGAATGAGCGGTCTGTTGTTCATGATGGCCGACACTTCCGCCATGAGGGTAGAGGGTACCTCGTGTGTGTGAGCTTGTGTGAAGTCATCTGAAGAAGCATCGAATCCAGAATCCTGCGAGCGATACCGATCATCCTTTCCCATACGCCGCCCATGTGTGATGCGTGAGGAGGGTTGAACACCCACGTACAACCATGGTCCACCAGAAACTGCTTCACCACCTTTTCATCCGGGTTGGAGGGAATTTGCAGGTCTTTGCAAGCTCCAATGAAATTGGTGCCTCTATCGGAGCGAATGAGCTTCGCTGGACCACGGACAGCTACGAATCTCCTTAAGGCGTTAATGAAGCTAGAGGTGTCCAAAGACTCGATCACCTCGATATGAACGGCTCTGATGCTTAAACACGTGAACAGTACCGCCCATCTCTTGTTCTCTGCATAGCCGCCTCTTGTCCTACGAGCTGATACGGACCACGGGCCAAACACGTCCAAACCCACATGTGTGAAGGGAGGCTGAGTACTAAGCCTTTCATGGGGCAGATCTGCCATCTTTTGCGTTTCTCCTTCTCTTCTGAGTTTACGGCATGTAACACAGAAATGGATAAGACTGTTCACACGTCTTTTACCTCCCATTATCCAATAGCCGGCTGACCTTATCGCTCCCTCTGTAAACTGGCGTCCCTGATGTTGTGTTTGCTCGTGGTAGTGTCGTGCCAGTAGCAATGCTACGTGGCTTTTACCCGGTATGATGAGAGGCCTCCTCTCCTCCACACTTATGTCTGCATTGATCAGGCGACCTCCTATTCTCATCAGACCGTTGCGGTCTAGGAAGGGGTCCAATTCTTTCAACGGGCTGGATCTGGGGAGTGGTTTACCCTGTTTGAGATGATGTATGTCTTCTCCATAGCTTTCCTTTTGTACCGCACGTATGATGACTTGGGACCCCATAAGTATGGTATCAGGTCCTAGAGGAAGCTTACAATGATGCCATCCCCGGCATGCTTGAGGAATGTCTTTCCGACTCCACTTAAAGGACCATGCAATGTGGATCAGTCGTCCGACTGCCTTGACCAGACGGTCCCAGTCTGAAAAAGATGCGAAGCGTGGAGTGGTGATCGTACGCAGCACTGTCACCTGTGGTCGAATTTCCGGGTCTTTATCCGGGTCGACGAGTTCGAAGGGTTTACTTGGGAAAGTTCCAGTTTTTGGCTGGTATAAGAATGCGGGTCCCTTAAACAAGATGGATAGATAGATAGAAATACTTTATTAATCCCAATCTGGGAAATTGCATTGTTTCAGCAGCGGTTCACACTCAATATCAAACACACATAACAATAAACAGAATAAATAACCCACTAAAATATGAAACAAATAAATATACATAAAAAATTAAGAATAAAACCCAACACAGTTGAGTACATATACATAATCACATGATAAATCAAACATATGCAAATCTATACAATATGTAATTCAGTATACAATTAATGTCAATCCAGGAGTCATCTAATGCTCAAAGATGATGTATTGTACAGGTTAATGGAATAAGGCAGGAAAGATTTCCTATAACGTGCTTTA